TCATTTTGCATCATTAATAAATTATACATCATCGATTACTTATCGGTTCACGAAGTTAATGAATCAAAACGTTTTATACTTTGAATTATTAATAAATGATACATCATCGATTACTTATCAATTCAGAAAGTTAATTAAACAAAACATTTTATCCTTTGCATCATTAATAAATGATACGTCATCGATTACTTATCGATTCACGAAGTTAATGAATCAAAACATTTTATCCTTTGCATTAGTAATAAATGTTACGTAATTGATTATTTATCAATTAATGAAGGTAATTAATCAACACGCGGGGACCGAAACGACCATATTCATTTATTTTGCATCATTAATAAATGATACGTCATCGATTACTTATCCATTCACGAAGTTAATGAATCAAAACGTTTTATCCTTTGCATCATTAATAAATGATACATCATTGATTACTTATCAATTAATAAATTGAATTAATCAAAACGCGGGGACGGGAACGAGACTATCTTACATAATTAATGAATTATAATCAATTAGTCATCGATTCACAGAGTTAATGAATCCAAACATTGATTCATTTTGCATCATTAACGAATGATGCGTCATCGATTACTTATCGGTTCACGCAGTTGCGTCATTAATTAATGATGCACCATCGATTATTTATCAATTGACGAAGTTAATGAATCGAAACGCGGGGCCGGGAACGAAAATATTTTGTATCATTAATGGAATAAACAATTATTGATCGATCGATTAATGAATGAATGAATCAAAACGCGGGGACGGAAATGAAAATATTTTATATAATTAATGGAATAAACAATTATTGATCCGTGAATGAATGAATGAATCAAACCGCGGGGACGGACACGAAAACATTCTATATCATTTTAATCAATTAAAACAATTATTGATCGATTGATGAATGAATGAATCAAACGGCGGGGACCGATGAATGAATGAATGGATCCAGACGCGGGCCCGGGCGCGAGAAGGTCTCGCGTCATTAACTCACGGGAACACTGGCCGATCGATTCGTGGACACGGGAACGCGGGGTGAATGAATGAAGTGAACACGAACAGGGAATGAATGAATGAAGGGCACACGTGAACACGGAGTGAATGAATGAAGGAAACACGGAGTGAATGAATGAAGCGAACACGGGAACGCGGGGTGAAGGAATGAAGTGGACACGGAGTGAATGAATGAAGTGAACACGGAGCGAATGAATGAAGTACACACGGGAACGCGGAGTGAATGAATGAATGAAGGAATGAATGACGCGAACAGGGAGTGAATGAATGAAGGAAACACGGGAACGCGGAGTGAATGAATGAAGGGGACACGCGAACGCGGAGGGAATGAATGAAGTGGACACGCGACCGCGGAGTGAATGAATGAAGCGGACACGGGAACGCGGGGTGAATGAATGAAGCGGACACGGGAACGCGGGGTGAATGAATGAAGCGGACACGCGAACGCGGGGTGAATGAATGAAGGGAACCCGTGAACGCGGAGTGAATGAATGAAGCGGACACGCGACCGCGGGGTGAATGAATGAAGGAGTGACTGACGGACGCGCGCGGCCAGGCCCCGCCCCCTGACGTCACCGGGGATGACGGACAGGGCCGCCCGCCGCTGCGGGGTGATGGACGGGCGCGGGAGAGGCGCACCGGAAGAGCCCGCCCTTCAGACGATGATTGACAGCTGTCCTCGAGGGCACGCCCCCGCCACCGTGATTGACAGCGGCGGCGACTGCAGCACCGGAAAAGCCCGCCCTTCAGACGATGACTGACAGCGGCGGCGACTGCAGCACCGGAAGAGGCCGCCACCGCGACTGTCCTTGACAGGAACGTGAACCTCTAACCGGAAGAGCCCGCCCTTCAGACGATGATGGACAGCGGCGGCGACTGCAGCACCGGAAGAGGCCGCCACCGCGAGTGTCATTGACAGGAACGTAAACCTCTAACCGGAAGAGCCCGCCTATTGGGGATGACTGACAGGGCCGCCTGCCGCAGTCCCCGGAAGAGCCCGCCTATTGGGGATGACTGACAGGGCCGCCTGCCGCAGTCCCCGGGACGGCCCGCCCCCGTCACGGTGATTGAAAGGAGGGCGAACCTCTAACCGGAAAATCCCGCCTTTCCGCGATGAATGACAGCGGCGAGTTGAGCGGGACCCGGAAGAGCCCGCCCCCGGCACCGTGATTGACAGGGCCGGCTTCTGAAGAAACGGAAGAGCCCGCCCTTCAGGCGATGATTGACAGCGCAGGCGACTGCAGCACCGGAAGAGCCCGCCCCGCCACCGTGATTGACAGGGCCGGCTTCTGAAGAAACGGAAGAGCCCGCCCTTCAGACGGTGATGGACAGCGGCGGCGACTGCAGCCCCGGAAGAGGCCGCCACCGCGACTGTCATTGACAGGAACGTAAACCTCTAACCGGAAGAGCCCGCCCTTCAGACGATGATGGACAGGGCCGGCTGCCGCAGTCCCCGGAAGAGGCCGCCACCGCGACTGTCATTGACAGGAACGGGAGCCTCTAACCGGAAGGGCACGCCTTTCCGGGATGATTGACAGGGGCGGCTGCCGCAGTCCACGGAAGAGCCCGCCCCCGTCACGGTGATTGAAAGGAGGGCGAACCTCTAACCGGAAGAGCCCGCCTGTAGGAGATGATTGACAGGGACGGCTGCCCCAGTCCCCGGAAGCGCCCTCCGCCGCCGCCGTGATTGACAGGGCCGCGCACCGCAAACCGGAAGAGCCCGCCTGTTTGGGATGATTGACAGGTCTGCCTGCCGCAGTCCCCGGAAGAGCCCTCCCCCTTCGCCGTGATTGACAGGCGCGGCCCGTGGGAACCCGCCGGCACCGGAAGTCCCTCCCCCAAGGGATGATTGACACACGAGTGTTTCCAGCCCAAGGATGCGCCCGGCGGCGACGGGATGATTGACAGGCGCGACCCGGAAGTGGCGTTTCTCCCCGACCCGTGCTCCGCCCCCCTCCCCGCCGGGGCCAGAGGTCACACGCCGCGTCCGGACGGACGGACGGACGGACGGACCGACCGACGCCAGGTGGGTGTCGTGGACGCGGCCCGATCCGGGTCTGAGCGTCGCCCCGGGTTGCGTGGATGGGGCGGGACGTCCGGCTTTCCGCTCGGCCGGCGGTGACGTCATCCGGGGCGGGGTGATGGGAGGGGGCGGGGCCTGCGCGTGACTGACACGCGCCCGGCGCCCACAGCAGGCCCCGCCTCCCGTCCGCCATCTTGGGAAAAAATGTTCCCTCCGCCGGAGCCAATCAGCGCGCGCGGCCGAGGCACGGGGGCGGGGCCTGCCCGTGATTGACAGTTCCTCCTTCGCCCCCGTCCGCCATCTTGGACCCCGCTCCCCTCCTCCTCAGCCAATCAGCGCGCGGAGCCGAGACCCTGGGGCGGGGCCTGCGCGTGACTGACAAGCCTCGGGGCGGGGGCGGGGCCTGGTCTTGACTGACAGGCGCCCTCCGCAGCCCCGCCCGCCATCTTGGACCCCGCTCCCCTCCTCCTCCGCAGCCAAACAGCGCGCGCGGCCGAGGTCCGGAGGCGGGGCCTGGTCGTGACTGACAGCCCCTCGCGCTCCCCCCCCGTCCGCCATCTTGGACCCCGCTTCCCTCCTCCGCAGCCAATCAGCGCGCGCGGCCGAGGCCCTGGGGCGGGGCCTTCGCGTGCCTGACAGGCCTCGGGGCGGGGGCGGGGTCTAGTCGTGACAGACAGGCGCCTTCCGCAGCCCCGTCCGCCATCTTGGACCCCCGCTCCCCTCCTCCGCAGCCAAACAGCGCGCGCGGCCGAGGCCCTGGGGCGGGGCCTGGGCTTGACTGACAGCCCCTCCCGCTCCCTCCGTCCGCCATCTTGGGCCCCGCTCCCCTCCTCCTCCGCAGCCAATCAGCGCGCGCGGCCGAGGTCCGGGGGCGGGGCCTTCGCCTGACTGACAGGCCTTGGGGCGGGGCTTGGGTGAGACTGACAGGCGCCCTCCACACCGCCCCGTCCGCCATCTTGGACCCCGCTTCCCTCCTCCCCAGCCAATCAGCGCGCGGCCTTTGCCCCAGGGAGGCGGGGCGTCGGCTTGACTGACAGGCGCCTTCCGCAGCCCCGTCCGCCATCTTGGACCCCCGCTCCCCTCCTCCGCAGCCAATCAGCGCGCGCGGCCGAGGTCCGGGGGGCGGGACCTTTGCGTGACTGACAGTTCCTCCCGCGCCCCCGTCCGCCATCTTGGACCCCGCTTCCCTCCTCCGCAGCCAATCAGCGCGCGCGGCCTTCGCCTGACTGACAGGCCTCGGGCGGGGGCGGGGCCTGGTCGTGACTGACAGGCGCCCTCCGCAGTCCGGGACCCCGCTTCCCTCCTCCTCCGCAGCCAATCAGCGCGCGCGGCCGAGGCCCGAGGGGGGCGGGGCCTGGGCCTGACTGACAGCCCTCCGCCATGTTGGACCCCGCTCCCCTCCTCCGCAGCCAATCAGCGCGCGCGGCCGTGTCCCAGGGGCGGGACCTTTGCGTGACTGACAGTTCCTCCCGCTCCCCCGTCCGCCATCTTGGACCCCGCTCCCCTCCTCCGCAGCCAATCAGCGCGCGCGGCCGAGGCCCGGAGGCGGGGCCTGCGCGTGACTGACAGTTCCTCCTTCTCCCGCCCGCCATCTTGGGCCCCGCTCCCCTCCTCCTCCGCAGCCAATCAGCGCGCGCGGCCGTGTCCCGGAGGCGGGGCCTGCGCGTGACTGACAGGCGCCCTCCGCTGCACCGTCCGCCATCTTGGACCCCGCTTCCGTCCGCAGCCAATCAGCGCGCGCGACCGAGGCCCTGGGGAGGGCCCTGGGCTTGAGTGACAGCCCTCCGCCATCCTTGGACCCCGCTCCCCTCCTCCGCAGCCAATCAGCGCGCGCGGAGCCGAGGCCCGAGGGGGGCGGGGCCCGCCCGCCGCGGTGGCCGCCGGGAGCCGCCCGCTTTTTTTTTTTTTTTTTTTTCCCCCCTCCGACTTTAATCCCAAGATGGCGACGCCGCCGTCGCCGTCGCCGGCGTCGCCGCCGCCGCGGGGTCACGTGACGCCGCCGCCGCCGCGTCTACGGGGCGGGTAGGTGACCCGGATGTCTGCGGGGGACCCGGATGCAGCCGCCGGGAGCGTCGGACTCGGACCCGGAGCCGCCGCCGCCGCCGCGGCCGCAGTGTCCCCGGCCCAAGGCCCGTCCCTTAAAGGCGCAGGGCGCGCGTGATGGACAGGTGGTGCAGTGATTGACAGGCCGGGGCCTGCAGCAGGTCAGGGCCCGGGGCGGGTTTGGTTTGTTTTTTATTTTTGATGTATTTATTTTTCCTCCTCGGCCCCGGGTCCGAGCATTTTTAAAAAAAATAATAATAATCATTTGCGAGGCGTTTAAAAAAAAAAAAGATTCGAAATTTGGAAAAAAAATCAAATTTGGAAGAAAAAAAATTAAAATAGTTTTCTTTTTCTTCCAAATTTTAAATTCGGAATTGGGCGCAAATTGGAAATTTAAATGTTTTATATTTTTTTTCCGTCCGGGGTCGAGGGTCGTAATTTATTTGCTATTTTTTTCCCCCCCCGCCCTCCGGGTATTTTTTATTTTATTTTATTTTGTTTTATTTTATTTTTATTTTATTTCCTTATATTTTATTTTATTTCATTTTATTTTATTTTGTTTCATTTTATTTTATTTTTATTTTATTTGATATCGTTTTATTTTATTTTATTTTATTTTATTTCATTTTATTTTATTTTATTTCATTTTATTTTATTTCATTTTATTTTATTTTATTTCATTTTATCTTATTTTTATTTTACTTTGTTTCATTTTACTTTATTTTTATTTTATTTGATATCATTTTATTTTATTTTATTTCATTTTATTTTATTTCATTTTATTTTATTTCCGGCCCCGGGCGCGGGGACCGGGTTGAGGACCCGCTGCTCGGGCCTCGCGGGGCGTCCGTCCGTCCGTCCATTCGTTCATTCATTCATTCGTTCATTCACTTTCAATTTAAAATTTAATTTCAATTTAAAATTTAATTTAACCATTCAGATTTAATTTTTGCAATTCGTGTCCGCGGCCTGTGCGCGCGCCGGGCTCCCGTCGTCCTCCTGCACCCCGAAACCTCCGGCGCCCCTTTATTTTTTTTTTTTTCCAATCCCCTGCCGCGCATGCACGACCGAAATTCAAAAATTTTAAAATTTCTAAAATTTTAAAATTTTAAAAATTTTGAAATTTTAACATGATGATGATGATTCTTTTTGCTGCGGTCCGGGGTGAGTTTGCTGAGCCGGGCCGGGTTGGGGGGGGGGGGGAGGGCGCTGCGGAGAGACGCCGGGGAGGGACCGCGTGGAAAAAAAGAAAGAAAATTGAAAAAAAAAATTGAAAAAAAATTTTTAAAATTTCAAATTTCAAATTTTAAAATTTTTTTTCATTTTTTTTTTTTTTTTGGTGGGGAGTCCCCCCGGCCCGGGGTGCCCGGGGTGTCCGGGTGGCTCCGGGGCGCTGCGGCGGCGGCGGCGGCGGCTGGGCCCCGACCCGGGTTGGATTCAAATTTTTATGAATTAAAATTGAAATTTGAAATTTTTAAATTTCAAATTTTAAAATTTTTTTTTTATTTTGAAATTTTGATTTTTTTTTTACATTCCGACTCCGCGGGTCCCGGGTCCCGGGTCCGGGCGGGGGAGGGGCGGCCCCGGGCCCTGGCGGCTCCTCAGGCCGTGGCGGCGGCGGCGGCGGCTGCGTTTTCCCCGCTTCCGTGGTCCCGGGCCGCCCCGACCGGCACCATCCCAACTCCCCCCCCACCCACCCACCCCCCCCAGTCACTCACAGAGACCCCCTGTCCCCCTGGAGGCCCACGGGGGGGGGAGAGGAGGGAGAGAAGCGGGTCCGGGGGCCTGCGGGGGAGTCCGTGCGGCTGTGTGTGTGGGGGGGGTTGGGATGGTGCCGGTCGGGGCCCGGGGTCTGTGTGGGGGGTATCTAGGGGGTTGGGATGGTGCTGGTGGCTGTGAGGGGGGATCTAGGGGGTTGGGATGGTGCTGGTGGCTGTGAGGGGGGATCTAGGGGGTTGGGATGGTGCCGGTCTGTGCGGAGGGGGTTGGGATGGCGCCGGTCGGGGCCTGGGGTCTGTGTGGGGGGATCTGGGGGGTTGGGATGGTGCCGGTCGGGGCCCGGGGTCTGTGCGGGGGGGTGATCTAGGGGGTCGGGATGGTGCCGGTCGGTGGGGCCCGGGGTCTGTGTGTGGGGGGGGGACCTAGGGGGTTGGGATGGTGCCGGTGGCTGTGAGGGGGGATCTAGGGGGTCGGGATGGTGCCGGTCGGCGGGGCCCCGGGGCCTGTGTGGGGGGATCTAGGGGGTCGGGATGGTGCCGGTCGGTGTCTGGGGGGTTGGGATGGTGCCGGTCGGGGCCCCTGAGGTCTGTGTGTGGGGGATCTAGGGGGTTGGGATGGTGCCGGTCTGTGCGGAGGGGGTTGGGATGGCGCCGGTCTGGAAGGGGGGTTGGGATGGTGCCGGTGGCTCTGTGTGGGGGGATCTAGGGGGTTGGGATGGTGCCGGTCGGGGCCTGGGGTCTGTGTGTGTGGGATCTAGGGGGTTGGGATGGTGCCGGTGGCTGTGAGGGGGGATCTAGGGGGTCGGGATGGTGCCGGTGGCTGTGAGGGGGGATCTAGGGGGTTGGGATGGTGCCGGTGGCTGTGAGGGGGGATCTAGGGGGTTGGGATGGTGCTGGTGGCTGTGAGGTGGAATCTAGGGGGTTGGGATGGTGCCGGTGGCTGTGAGGGGGGATCTAGGGGGTTGGGATGGTGCCGGTGGCTGTGAGGGGGGATCTAGGGGGTTGGGATGGTGCCGGTGGCTGTGAGGGGGGATCTAGGGGGTTGGGATGGTGCCGGTGGCTGTGAGGGTGCCGGTCTGTGCGGAGGGGGTTGGGATGGCGCCGGTCGGGGCCTGGGGTCTGTGTGTGTGGGATCTAGGGGGTTGGGATGGTGCTGGTGGCTGTGTGGGGGAATCTAGGGGGTTGGGATGGTGCCGGTGGCTGTGAGGGGGGATCTAGGGGGTTGGGATGGTGCTGGTGGCTGTGGGGGGATCTAGGGGGTTGGGATGGTGCTGGTGGCTGTGAGGGGGGATCTAGGGGGTTGGGATGGTGCTGGTGGCTGTGTGGGGGGATCTAGGGGGTCGGGATGGTGCCGGTCTGTGCGGAGGGGGTTGGGATGGCGCCGGTCGGGGCCTGGGGTCTGTGTGGGGAGGATCTAGGGGGTTGGGATGGTGCCGGTCGGGGCCCGGGGTCTGTGGGGGGGGATCTAGGGGGTTGGGATAGTGCCGGTCTGTGCGGAGGGGGTTGGGATGGCGCCGGTCGGGGCCCGGGGCCTGTGTGGGGGGGGATCTGGGGGGTTGGGATGGTGCCGGTGGCTGTGAGGGGGGATCTAGGGGGTCGGGATGGTGCCGGTGGCTGTGAGGGGGGATCTAGGGGGTTGGGATGGTGCCGGTGGCTGTGAGGGGGGATCTAGGGGGTCGGGATGGTGCCGGTGGCTGTGAGGGGGGATCTAGGGGGTTGGGATGGTGCCGGTGGCTGTGAGGGGGGATCTAGGGGGTTGGGATGGTGCTGGTGGCTGTGAGGGGGGATCTAGGGGGTCGGGATGGTGCTGGTGGCTGTGAGGGGGGATCTAGGGGGTTGGGATGGTGCCGGTGGCTCTGTGTGGGGGAATCTAGGGGGTTGGGATGGTGCCGGTGGCTGTGTGGGGGGATCTAGGGGGTTGGGATGGTGCCGGTCGGGGCCTGGGGTCTGTGTGTGTGGGATCTAGGGGGTCGGGATGGTGCCGGTGGCTGTGAGGGGGGATCTAGGGGGTTGGGATGGTGCCGGTGGCTGTGAGGGAGGATCTAGGGGGTTGGGATGGTGCTGGTGGCTGTGAGGGGGGATCTAGGGGGTCGGGATGGTGCCGGTCTGTGCGGAGGGGGTTGGGATGGCGCCGGTCGGTGCAGGTTTGGAGCCGGGGTCTGGGGTAAGGGGGGTTGGGATGGTGCCGGTCGCTCGGGGCCGACGCCGCGGGGGGCCTTCTGGGCCCGGGGGTGTGTGTGTCGAGGGGGTCGGGATGGTGCCGGTGGCCGTGTGTACACGTGTGCGTGTGTGAAGGAGCCGGGGGTCTGGGGTGTGTGTGTGCCGGGGAGTCGGGATGGTGCCGGTCCTGGGAGCAGGTTTGGAGCCGGGGGTCCGGGGCGAGGGGGGGGGGGTTGGGATGGTGCCGGTCGCCGTGCGTGCGTGGCCCGTCTGTGTGTGTGTGGGGGGTCGGGATGATGCCGATCTGGAACCCGGGGGGTCCCCGGGTCGGGGCGTGTTGCGTGTGCGTGTGTGTGGGGGGGGTCGGGATGGTGCCGATCCCGCGAGTGTGCGCGCGTGTGCGCGCGCGTGTGGAGGGTTGGGGTCCCGTGCGTGCGCGTTTGCGTGTCCGCGTGTGATGGCGGGGCGGGGGGGGGTGGGGTCGGCACGCCTGCGAGGGGGTGGGGTCGGGACGGTGCCGTCCCGTGTTCCCTGCGTGTCGCCTGTCGTGCGTGTGTGTGCGTGGAGCGGGCTCTGCTCACACGCGTGTGCACGAGTTGATGGTCTGCACACGCGTGTCACACGTGTGTCGCACGCGGCTCCGGGTCCGTGTGTCTGTGCGCATCCCGCGGGCCCGGGGCGATGCCCACGGCCGCGCACACGCGTGTCACACACCCGGCCCGGGGCCCGCGTCTCCTCCACGCGTGGAACACGGCGCGTGGCGTGTGTCGCGTGTGACGTGCCGGGACCCGTGTCCGGGGGTGCGTGGGCGAGCACTCACGCGGACATACGTGTGCGTGTGCGCAGACACGTCAAGACACGCGGGCAGGCGTGCGTGGCGACCCGTGACAGACACGCGTCCCCGGAGCCCCGGGCGTGACCCGCGTCCCCGGCGGGGCCGACACACGCATGTGAGGCGTGAGCACGCATGAAGTGTGTGTGTGTGGACGCCGAACACACGCCGAGGACACGTGTGACGGACACGCGTGTGCGGCCGCACGGGCGCGTGCAGGGCAGAGGTGCCGGTGCGTACGTGTGCGTCTGTGAACACGGGTGTAAGCGTGTGTGTGTGAAAGCTCATGCGTGTGTTGGCGTCGGCGCCGGCCACGCGTGTTTAAGTGACATGGACACGTGTGAGTCCCCGTGCGTGTTCTTCACTCGTCAGGTGTGTCCTTGTGTGGACAGGGAGGCGTCACGCGTGTTGGGTCCGGGGGGGACCCCGCGGGTGGGCGCCGGGACGGTGGGCCGTCCGCACACGCGAACACGTGTGTCCTCTGCACGTGCATGGCGCACGGTGGTCTCGGTCCGCGTGGAACACGCGTGTGAATGCGTGTGCGCGGGAGGCGGGGCGGGGACCGAGGCACGACCGACCGCGCGCCGCCGTCCATGCTCAGGTCCACACACGCGTGTGATCCCGTGACCGGCAGGCTCACCGTGTCCTCCTCCCCGGCAGGTCGCCTGGCGAGCGCGTGACGTGGCGAGCGACCCGGACGTGACCCCGAGGCCCCCGCGGCGGCCGACGTCGTCGTCGGCGTGACGGGCGTCACGCGTGTGGATTCCGTGACAGGTGAGCGGCGGGTCCCCGGTGGGGGGGGGGGGCCGTCACTGCCTGCGTGATGTGCGCACGTGTCGTCACGCGTGTGGTACGCACGAACACGCGATGTCTCCCGTGTACAGCGCGCACGTGCGTGTGAAGCGCGGTCTCCTCGGCCGCGTGTCACGTGTACACGCGTGTGCGAGGACGCGGGGTCCGACTTGGTCCCGCGGAGCCACGCGGGAAGTATGTACGGGACGGGAAGGACACGTGTGTCCCACGTGTGGGTTCGCACGCGCGTGTCTGTGCGCACACGGCGACACGTGACGACACGGACCCTGTGCCGGCTGCGCGCACGCTCGGACTCTCCCCCCCTTACGCACTCACGCGTGTTCCCGTGACCTGGTCCTCCGTGTTCACACGCGTGGATTCACACGCGTGAAATCCCCGACACGGGTCGGTGTCGTCACGTCCCGACACGCGTGTTTTCCCGGCGCCCTGGCGTGGGCGGGCCTTGCCTGAGCCGTGTCCGTGACGTCCCTTCCTGTCACGTGTGTGCCCGCAGGCCCCGACCCCGGACGTGGGGGACGCCGCCGAGTCGTTCCCAGCGGAACACGCGTGACACGTGTTCCTAGCTGACACGGTAAGCGTGGGGGCCGGGGGCGGCGGGCCCGGGCGTGTCACGGGGCGCGTGGTCTGTGTCCCTGACCCGTGTGGCTGCGTGTCCACCCGTGTGCCTGGAGCCAAGGGAGGCCCGCGGCACGTGTCCACGCGTGTTCGGTGCGATTCCGTGTCGACGCGATCACGTTCGCACGCGTGTCCCGCGTGGGACGGGAAACAGGAAGTGGGGGGACAGGAAGTGCCCGCCCCCCCCGCCCCCGCCCCGCACTCACCCTGTCCGTCTCTTTCCCCCTCAGGCCCCGAGGACCCGTGTTCCCCGCCGCGCACCACGCGGGACGCCGCCCCGCGAGGACGCCATGATGACTCCCGCCCGCGACCCTCCGCGGGACCCCCGCCCGCCCCGCCCCGCGCGACCCTGACCCGGCCCCCGCCACGGCGACGCTCGGACCCGCGCACGTGCGCACACGCGTGTCTTCACGCCGACGTCTTGTGACTGTTGACCGACCGCGGCGGCGGCCATGTTCCCGTCGACCTCGGCGTGACCCCCCGCGCCCCCCTCCCACGCCCCCACCCGCGTCCCACCCCGCCCGTCCCGGCCGCGGCCTCGGCGGCGGCGACACGCGTGTAGCATGTCGCCGCGCCCGTCGCCCCCCCGCGTGCTGCTGTGGGTCGTCGCGGCGGCCGTGTCGGCGTCGTCGTCAGCGTCGGCGTCGGCGTCGGCCTCGGCGTCCCCGGCGCACCCCGTGGTGAGCACGCACTACGGGCGCCTGCGCGGCACACGCGTGTCGCTGCCGGGCGAGCTGCTGGGCCCCGTGGAGCAGTTCCTGGGCGTGCCGTACGCGGCGCCGCCCACGGGCGAGCGGCGGTTCCAGGCGCCCGAGCCGCCCTCGTCCTGGCCCGGCGTGCGCAACGCCACGGGGTTCGCGCCCGTGTGCCCGCAGCCGCTGGACGAGCGCGCGCTGCCCCGCGACATGCTGCCCGTGTGGTTCTCGGCCGCCGGCCCCGACGCGCTGGGCGCCTACCTGCAGGAGCAGAGCGAGGACTGCCTCTTCCTCAACCTCTACGTGCCCGCCGCCCCCGACGGTGAGCGCGGGGGGAGGGGACACGGGTGGGGGACACACGGGGGCGGCGGGACGTCATGTGGCGGGCCGGGGTGTCGGGTGTGGGTGGTGTGTGGATGGCGTGGGGTCGCGTGTGGTCGTGTGTCGGGCTGTGGTGTCGTGGGATGTGGCGTGTGGGTCGTGGGGTGTCGCGTGTGGGTGGCGTGGGGTCGCGTGTGGTCGGGTGTTGGGCTGTGGTGTCGCATGTGGGTCGTGGGATGTCGTGTGTCGGGCCGTGGTGTCGTGTGATGTGGCGTGTGGGTCGTGGGACGTCGCGTGTGGTCGTGTGTCGGGCTGTGGTGTCGTGGGATGTGGCGTGTGGGTCGTGGGGTGTCACGTGTGGTCATGTGTCGGGCCGTGGGGTCGCGTGTGGTCGGGTGTTGGGCTGCGGTGTCGCATGTGGGTTGTGGGATGTCGTGTGTCGGGCTGTGGTGTCGTGTGATGTGGCGTGTGGGTCGTGGGACGTCGCGTGTGGTCGTGTGTCGGGCCGTGGTGTCGCGTGTGGGTGGCGTGGGGTCGTGTGTGGGTGACATGTTGGTTGTTTGGTGTCGTGTGTCGGGCCGTGGTGTCGTATGATGTGGCGTGTGGGTCGTGGGGTGTCGCGTGTGGTCGTGTGTCGGGCCGTGGGGTCGCGTGTGGTCGGGTGTTGGGCTGTGGTGTCGCGTGTGGGTCGTGGGATGTCGTGTGTCGGGCCGTGGTGTCGCATGATGTGGCGTGTGGGTGGTGGGGCGTCGCGTGTGGTCGTGTGTTGGGCAGTGGTGTCGTGTGATGTGGTGTGTTGGTCGTGTGATGTCGCATTTGGGTGGCGTGTGGGTCGTGGGATGTCGCGTGTGGGTGGCGTGGTGTCGCGTGTGGTCGTGTGTTGGGCTGTGGTGTCACGTGTGGGTGCCTTGTGGGTCGTGGGATGTCGCGTGATGTCGCATGTGGGTGGCGTGGTGTCGCGTGCGGGTGGCATGGGGTCGTGTGTGGTCGTGTGTCGGGCCGTGGTGTCTCGTGATGTGGCGTGTGGGTCGTGGGATGTCGTGTGCGGGTCGCCTGGGGTCGCGTGTGGGTGACATGTTGGTTGTTTGATGTCGTGTGTGGGCGGCGTGGTGTCGTGTGTGGTCGTGTGTTGGGCTGTGGTGTCGCGTGTGGGTGTCGTGTGGGTTGTGGGATGTCGCGTGTGGTCGTGTGTTGGGCTGTGGTGTCATGGGATGTCGCGTGTGGGTCGTGGGATGTCGCGTGTGGGTGGTGTGGTGTCGTGTGTGGCCGTGTGTCGTGCCGTGGTGTCTCGTGATGTGGCGGGTGGGTCGTGGGATGTCGTGTGTGGGTCGCCTGGGGTCGCGTGTGGGTGACATGTTGGTTGTTTGATATCGTCTGTGGGTGGCGTGGGGTCGTGTGTCGGGCTGTGGTGTCACGTGATGTGGCGTGTTGGTCGTCGGATGTCGTGTGTTGGTGGCGTGTCGCGTGTGGTCGTGTGTCGGGCTGTGGTGTCGCATGATGGGGCGTGTTGGTCATGGGATGTCCTGTGTGGTTGGCGTGTTTGTCGTGGGATGTTGTGTGTGGTTGCCGTGGGGTCACGTGTGGGTGGCATGTTGGTTGTTTGATGTCGTGTGTAGGGTGCGTGGTGTCGCGTGTGGTCGTGGGTTGGGCTGTGGTGTCGCGTGATGTGGCGTGTGGGTGGTGTGGGGTTGCGTGTGGTCATGTGGGTAGCATGTGGGTCATGGGATGTCGCGTGTGGGTGGCGTGTGGGTCGTGGGCTGTCGCGTGTGGGTGGCATGGGGTCGCGTGTGGGTGACATGTTTGTTGATGTCGTGTGTGGGTGGCGTGGTGTTGTGTGTGGTCGTGTGTCGGGCCGTGGTGTCTCGTGATGTGGCGGGTGGGTCGTGTGATGTGTGTGGGTGGCATGTCATGTGTGGTCGTGTGTTGGGCCGTGGTGTTGCGTGATGTGGCGTGTTGGTCATGGGATGTCGCGTGTGGGTCGCGTGGGGTCGCGTTGGTCGTGTGTCAGGCTGTGGTGTCGCGTGTCGGTGGCGTGTGTGTCGTGGGACGTCGTGCGGTGCAGGCTCGCGTGGTGTCACGTGCGGTCATGCTTTTGGGGCCGTGATGTCACATGACGTCAGTTGATGTGTCACGTGTGATGTTGCCTGTGGGTCCTGGGTGTTGCGTGGTGTGTGTTGGTGGCGTGATGCCGTGCGTGGTCGCGTGCTTGGCTGTGGTGTCTCGTGACGTCGCGTGTGGGGTCGTGAGGTTGTTTGACGTGGTGTGTGGTCCCGTGTGGGGGCCGTGGTGTCGCGTGTCGGGCCTGGGTGTTCGTGTGATATGGCGTGATGTCGTGGGATGCCGTGCGTGGCCGCGTGCTGGCTGTGGTGTCCCGTGACGTCGCGTGGGAGCCCGTGATGTTGCGTGATGTCGCGTGTGGTCATGTGTGGGCTCGTGATGTCGCATGACGTCGGGTGTTGGTGGCGTGTGACGTCGCATGTGGGGCCCTGGGTGTTGCGTGAAGTGTGTTGGTGGCGTGATGTCATGTGTGGGGCCTTGGTGTCATGTGATGTCGCGGGTCAGTCACGGGATGTCACGTGTCAGGCCGTGACGTCGCGTGTCAGGCTGTGGTGTCGTGTGATGTGGCCTGTTGGTTGTGATGGCGCGTGTGGGGCCGTGATGTCGCGTGTGGGTGGCGTGATGTCACGTGTTGGGCCTGCGCGTTCGTGTGATACGGCGTGAGGTCATGTGTGGTCACGTGTGGGGCCGTGGTGTCGCGGGTCAGGCTGTGTGATGCGTGGGATCATGTGTGGGGCCGTGATGTCCCATGACGTTGGTTGGGCCTTGGTGTCGCGTGTCAGACTGTGATGTCGCGTGTGGGGCCCTGGTGTCGCGGGATGTGGCGTGTTGGGCGCGTGATACCGCGTGTGGTCACGTGTGGGGCCGTGACGTGTCCCGTGACGTCACGGCTTGGACGCTGCTGTCCCATGGTGTCGCGTGATGTCGCGTGTCGGGGCCGTGACATGGCGTGTCACGTCAACGGGGCTCCCCCGTGCACACGGGTTGCGGGTGGGGACCCGTGACCTGGCGACCCCCGACCACCTCCCCCGATGGCCCCCCTGGCCGCCGGCGCCGTCGACGCACGCCCGGCCCGCCCCCCCCCACCACGTTGGCGTGTCGTTGGCGTGTTCCCGAGCCCGGCGGCGATGGCTGCGGGGGGCCGTTGGCCTATGCAGGAGGCCCGGGCGCCCCTCATTTGCATATTCATGAGCCGCCTGCGTCCCCGCCCACGGCCGGGCGCTCCTCATTTGCATATCAACGCCCCACCCAAGGTCATTTGCATATCCGGGGGCCTCGGCCGTGCTCATTTGCATACGCTTTGCATATCCACAACCCGGGAGCATTTGCATAGCCCCGCCCATCGCTTCCCATTTGCATATTCCCAGCGAGAGCCATTTGCATATTCATGAGTCACCTGTGTCCCCGCCCATGGCCAGGCGCTCCTCATTTGCATGTCCCCGCCCCACCCGAGGTCGTTTGCATATCTCCGGGCCTCGGCCGTGCTCATTTGCATACGCTTTGCATATCCACGGGCCCGGGAGCATCTGCACAGCCCCACCCACCCCCGCCGATTTGCATATTCCCAGCGAGAGCCATTTGCATATTCATGAGCCTCCTGTGTCCATGGCCAGGGGATCGTCATTTGCATAGCCCCGCCCCACCCGAGGTCATTTGCATACCCGGGACTCAGCTGTGCTCATTTGCATACGCTTTGCATATTCACGGGCCCGGGAGCATCTGCACAGCCCCGCCCACCGCTCCCCATTTGCATATTCCCAGCATTAGCTATTTGCATATTCATGAGTCACCTGTGTCCATGGCCAGGGGCTCCTCATTTGCATATCTCCGCCCCGCCCGAGGTCATTTGCATAGCCCTGTCCACCGCTTCCTATTTGCATATTGCCACCCAGAGCCATTTGCATATTCATGAGGCCCGGGCGCATTTTTGCCTATGAATGAGCTCCGGGCTCCGCATTTGCATATCCCCGCCCCTGGCCTCGGACGTGCTCATGTGCATACGCTTTGCATATTCCTGGTCCATGGGCCTTTGCATAGCCCCGCCCACCGTCCGGCCATTTGCGTACTGGAGAGGCCACACCCTCCCAATTTGCATAACCCCTCCCACCGCTACCCATTTGCATACGGAAGAGGTCACACCCTCCCAATTTGCATAACCCCCTCCCACCGCTACCCATTTGCATACAGAAGAGGTCACACCCTCCCTTTTTGCATGACCCCCCGCCCACCAGCCGCCCATCTGCATATTCCCAGCCACATCCATTTGCATATTCATGAGCTCCGGGTTCCACATTTGCATATCCCCCGCCCCGCCGGCCTCCCATTTGCATATCCCCGGCCCGGGACCCTTTGCCTTTGCAGAGTCATGGTCCCCGCCGGAGCCCATTTGCATACCCACCGCTCGTTTGCATATCGCGGGGCCCCTCATTTGCATATCCACGTATTTTTTTCCGTTGTCGCTCTTTTTTTTTTAATCCGTCGCCATCGTCGCTGTCTCATCCCGCGCCGCTTCCGTCACGCCACGCGCACCGCGCACGCGGTCGCCGCCCCCCGCGCTTCCCAGCGTCCCGCCGCGCCCCGTGGATCTTTGCGGGTTCCTTTTTTTTTTTTTCATTTTGCTTCCGTTTCGCGGTTTTTTTAATTTAAAATTTGATGTTAATTTCGCGTGAAAATTTCTACGCGATTTTCTCGTGTTTTTGTGCGTTTTACTTTTGCGTTTCTTTATTTAAATTTAAATTTGATCCAAATTTTTTTTACGTGTTTTTTTCCTACAATTTTTTTTATTCTTGAGCGTGTTCGACTCTCGCGTTACCGCGCTCACCTGTGACCATATAGTTTACCTAAGGAAGCGCCTCCGCGGTTTACCGTTTTTAGTATTTTTTTTTTTAGCTGATTTTTAATATGAATTCACTGGAACGCGGGTCGATGGTCGCGTTATTTTTTTTTTAAATTCTAATTTAATTGGAAACTTTTTGGGTTTTTTTTTTAAAAAAATAATTTTTTTCTTCAACCTTTTTTAACTGAAATTTTGTTTTCCGCCCCCCGAGGACCGCGTGTTACATAAAATATAATTAAAAAAAAAAAGCGCCTTTGTGTTTTCACGGTCGGGTTTTTTTTTTTTTTTGCTGATCCGGCGGGAACGCGTTTTATTTTTTTCCGTTTTGGTTGAGATTTGATTTTTTTTCAGTCGATCTTTTTATAATTTAATTAAAAAATTTTTTTTTTTTTACGTTTTATTCTTTGATTCCGTATTCTTCCGTTTTCCTCACCGGTTAACGTCTGTCGCGTGAAAAAGAAAAAAAAAAACAAGCGTCTCCGCGTTTTAACGGTTGGCTTTTTCGTGTTTTCCATCGGGTCGGTGTTTTTTTTTTTTTTTTTTTCACGTTTTCGGTTTTTTTTTTTTTAATTTTAATTTCTTTTAACCTTTTTTTTTCCCCCCGATTTTCATTTTTCCGCCCACTCTTCTCCCCTCGCCGCCGCCGCCCCGGGTGTCTCCCCGTCCCCGCGCCGCGCATCTTCTCACATCTTTTTTTTTCCCCCCCCTCCGTCTCGTCGTTTTATTTTTTTTTTTCCGCGTCCCCCCGTCTCGACCCGACCCCAGGAGCCAACACTAAGAAAATCGCAGACGGTATCGCGAGTAATGACCGTGGGGACGACGAAGGTACCTTTTTTTTTTTTCCCGACTTTTGCTTTTTTTGTTTTTTTTTTTTTTTCTTTTTTTCTCCTGGAGGGCTCGGACCCGATGCATGCGTTCATCTCTCAGCGGTCAATTTTTTTTATTTTTTTTCCTCACCCTTTTCACGCCGTCGTCGTGTCCTCGTTTCTTTTCTTGTACCAAAAAAAATAAAAAATAAGAATTTGCGTTTTTGAAAAATTTTGAAATTCCGGGAAAAAAATATCCTGAAATCCAAAAATAATGTATTTTTGGTTTGAAATTTGAAGAAAAATTTGATTTTTTTTTTTTTTCCCAATCCGTCTCGGTCCCAAGAAGAGAAAACGAAAAAAAAATTTTAAATTGAGATTTGAAGTAACATTTTGTTTTATTTTTTTCTTTCTTTTTTTTTTCCACCCTTTCTCGGTCCCCAGACGAAGAAAACTTGATTTTTTTTATTTTTTTCCTCCTCCCCCCCCGGCGTGCATGCCGACCTTTGCGTCCGTCCCCCGCGCCGTCCCGGTGCGTGGATCGTGGGTTTGGAAATTTGGTTGAAGTTTTTGTTTGAAAAATTTTGAAATTTTTATTTTGAAATTTTAATTTTGAAATTTTTCAGTTTTGAAATTTTTATTTTGAAGTTTTAATTTTGAAATTTTAATTTTGGAATTTTAATTTTTCCCACCCCCCGTGGCGCCTGGGTAGGTTTCGGGTGGGAGACGGCCGGGTCAGACAGTCCAAGCTCTGCAGAGACTGGCGCTGAGGCAGGGGGATGGTTTTCCCAAACTTAAAAAAAAAAAAGTTCTGTTCAGTTTTAAATCTCAAATTTTTTTTGTTTTTTAAACTTGGGAAAAGTCATCCCCCTGCCTCGGAGCTGCCCGAGTCTCTCGCAATGGAAATAATAGAAAAAACACGGACGGGGCGTGAGCGGCCGCGGGGACCGACGGCTCCGACCGTCGGGCGACGCCTGAGAGGAAAAAAAAACCCCGAACCCGGTTCCCCGGAATTCACATTGTATTTTCACCCGCGTCCCCGAGACACGGGAGACACGCGGGGCGCGAGACTTCTCGGAGCGCTAACCCCCCATCTCGTCTCATTTGCATAAAATTTGCATATGCTGATAAGCATCAAAGGCTTGTGCGGGGCTGTCTCTGGGCATTTGCATGGAATTTGCATATCTGAATAAATGCTCGCAGGCATTTGCATAACCATACGCGCATTTGCATATCCAACACTCTCACGGCCTCTCATTTGCATGGGATTTGCATATGTGGATAAATGATTGCAGATATTTGCATAACCATGCACACATTTGCATATTCAACACTGCCATGGGCTCGCATTGGCATGGAATTTGCATATCTGGATAAATGCTCTGCAGGCATTTGCGTAACCATACGCGCATTTGCATATTCAGCACTACCACAGCCTCTCATTTGCATGGAATTTGCATACCCGAATAGATCTTTGCAGGTATTTGCATAACCATGCGCACATCTGCATATCCAGCACTACCACGGCCCTCGCGTTTGCATGAAGTCTGCATGTCCCGGTGACATTTGAGTAGCTGCGAACGTGCTGAAGTGACTGGCGGTGCCCATTTGCATACAATTTGCATAACCGCAGTCAGGTCCTTTTGAAAACTTGCATAGCCAGCCAGGGATTTGCATAGGTTGACCGCCCTCCTTTGGACACCTGCGTGTCATTTGCATATTTTGAGTACTAACCACACACATTTGCATGTCGTCACCCACTCTCAGCTCCACATTTGCATAAATTTGCATGTCCCAGTAACTTTGAGTCACTGTGACAATAATGAAGTGACTGCCTGGGCACATTTGCATGAAATTTGCATAAGCACAGCCAAAGCCCCTGTGGAAATTTGCATAGCCAGCCTGTTTGCGTAGAATTTGCATATTCACAACCAAAGTCCTGAAAATTTGCATATTGTAAGCGCCTTTTGGGGGCGTCTGGTTGTAATTTGCATATTTCAATTATCTCTCGCCACTCTTAATTAATTTTCAATGAACTGGACGTATTTGCATAACTGCACATACATTTGCATATTCCCATACAACGGCGGCCCCCATTTACATAAATTTGCATGTCCCCGTGGCGTTTGCGTGGCTGTCAGAATGCAGAAGGGCCTGGCTGTGGCCATTCGCATGGAATTTGCATAATCGTGGCCATGTTCTCGTGAAAATCTGCACAGCCAGCCAGGAATTTGCATATTGTAAGAGCCTTGTTTGGACATCTGCGTGTAATTTGCATGTTTTAATTAACTCTTGCGGCTTTTTTGCATCACTGCACTTATTTGCATATCCTCACACAGCAGCTGCTGCGTATCTGCATAAAATTCGAATAATCACGGCCAGGCCATCATGGAAATCTGCATAGCCAGCCAGGCATTTGCATATTTTAGTTGCCTTTCCGGGGACATCGGCATGTAATTTGCATGTTTTCATGAGCTATCGCAACTTTTTTGCATCACAGCACACAAATTTGCAGATCTTTCACAACTGCTGTGTATTTGCATAAAATTTGCATAATTGCGGCCAGGCCATCATGGAAATGTGCATACCCAGCCAGGCATTTGCATATTTCAAGCGCCTTTGGGGGCATCTGCATGTGATTTGCATGTTTTCATTAACTCTTGCAACTTTTTTTCATCAGCGCACACACATTTGCATATCCTCACAGCTGCTGCGTATTTGCATAAAATTCCGCATAATCACGGCCAAGCCATCATGGAAATCTGCATACCCAGCCAGGAATTTGCATATTTCAAGCGCTTTTTGGGCATCTGCATGTAACTTGCATGTTTTCATTAACTCTTGCAACTTTTTTTTGCATCAGCGCGCACACATGTGCGTATCTTCATTGCTGCTGCGTATTTGCATAAAATTTGCATAAGTGTGGCCAGGTCGTCTTGAAAATTTGCATATTTTAAGCGCTTTTGGGGCATCTGCATGTAATTTGTATGTTTTCATTAACTCTTGCAACTTTTTTTGCATCAGCGCACGCACATTTGCATATCCTCACATCTGCGTATTTCCATAAAATTCCGCATAATCACGGCCAGGTCATCATGGAAATTTGCATAGCCAGCCAGGCATTTGCATATTTTAGTTGCCTTTCCGGGGACATCGGCATGTAATTTGCATGTTTTCATGAGCTATCGCAACTTTTTTGCATCACAGCACACAAATTTGCAGATCTTTCACAACTGCTGTGTATTTGCATAAAATTTGCATAATTGCGGCCAGGCCATCATGGAAATGTGCACGCCCAGCCAGGCATTTGCATATTTCAAGCGCTTTTTGGGCATCTGCATGTAACTTGCATGTTTTCATTAACTCTTGCTACTTTTTTTTGCATCAGCGCGCACATATGTGCATGTCTTCGTTGCTGCTGTGTATTTGCATAAAATTTGCATAATTGTGGCCAGGTCATCATGGAAATTTGCATAGCCAGCCAGGAATTTGCATATTTCAAGCGCTTTGGGGGCATCTGCATGTAACTTGCATGTTTTCATTAACTCTTGCAACTTTTTTTTGCATCAGCGCACGCACATTTGCATATCCTCACATCTGCTGCGTATTTCCATAAAATTCCGCATAATCACGGCCAGGCCATCATGGAAATTTGCATAGCCAGCCAGGCATTTGCATATTTTAGTTGCCTTTCCGGGGACATCGGCATGTAATTTGCATGTTTTCATGAGCTATCGCAACTTTTTTGCATCACAGCACACAAATTTGCATGTCCTAACACAGCAGTTAGCCCCTGGCATTTGCATAAAATTTGCATAATTGCGGTCAGGCCATCATGAAAATCTGCATACCCAGACAGGCATTTGCATATTTCAAGCGCCTTTGGGGGCATCTGCATGTAATTTGCATGTTTTCATTAACTCTTGCAACTTTTTTTCATCAGCGCACACACATTTGCATATCCTCACAGCTGCTGCGTATTTGCATAAAATTCCGCATAATCACGGCCAAGCCATCATGGAAATCTGCATACCCAGCCAGGAATTTGCATATTTCAAGCGCTTTTTGGGCATCTGCATGTAACTTGCTTGTTTTCATTAACTCTTGCAACTTTTTTTTGCATCAGCGCGCACACATGTGCATGTCTTCGTTGCTGCTGCGTATTTGCATAAAATTTGCATAAGTGTGGCCAGGTCGTCTTGAAAATTTGCATATTTTAAGCGCTTTTGGGGCATCTGCATGTAATTTGTATGTTTTCATTAACTTGCAACTTTTTTTGCATCAGCGCACACACATTTGCATATCCTCACAGCTGCTGCGTGTTTGCATAAAATTTGCATAATTGTGGCCAGGCCATCATGAAAATTTGCACACCCAGCCAGGAATTTGCATATTTCAAGTGCTTTTGGGGCATCTGCATGTAATTTGCATGTTTTAATTAACTCTTGCAACTTTTTTGCATCACCGCACTTATTTGCATATCCTCACACAGCAGCTGCTGCGTATCTGCATAAAATTTGAATAGTCACGGCCAGGCCATCATGAAAATTTGCACACCCAGCCAGGCATTTGCATATTTCAAGCGCTTTGGGGGCATCTGCATGTAATTTGCATGTTTTCATTAACTCTTGCAGCTTTTTTCCATCTCCGCACACTTATTTGCATATCGTCACACAGCACCAGCGGTTCATTTGCATGAAATTTGCATATTCGTAGCCAAATCCTCCCAAAAAATCTCCATAACCCGCCCGCCATTTGCATATTTTCAGTGTTTGCGGACATCTGCATATAATTTGCATATTAAAGAGCTCTAGCCCCGCCCCCAACATTAGCATGTTTTACATATTCATGAGCTCGCCCTGGACTCCCCTCACCCCCGGGCGCCGCGTGTGGGCGTCTCCTCCCCCGCACCCGTGTCCTCTCGCGCATCCCGTGTCGACGCCCCTGCGGGAGCCCCGCCCCTGTCCGCTCCCCCATACGTGTAGCCCGAGTGCCGCGCCCACGCGTGGGTCCCGCCCCACGACACGCTTGGGACCCAGGCCGGGCGCGGGTGCCGGACGCGCTGACCCCGCGCTGACCCCGCCCCCCCACCGTCCCCGCAGACGTGCACGACCCCGGCGGGCGGAAGCCCGTGATGGTGTACATCCACGGCGGCTCCTACATGGAGGGCACCGGGAACATGATCGACGGCAGCGTGCTGGCGAGCTACGGCAACGTCATCGTCGTCACCGTCAACTACCGCCTGGGCGTGCTGGGTGAGGCCCCCCCGCGACACGCCGGACACGCGACACGTGACTGCGACACGCCGGACACGCGACACGCCACCCGGACACGCGACTCCGACATGCCAGACACATGACACGCCCCGACACGCGACACAGACGCGTGGCCGCGACACGCCAGACACGCAACACGTGACCCAGACATGAAACGTGACCATGACACGTGACCCAGACATGCGACATGCCCCGACATGAGACACACACGTGGCCCGAAACACCAGACACGCAACACGTGACCCAGACATGAAACGTGACCATGACACGCAACACGCGACCCAGACACGCAACACGCCCCGACACACAATCCCAGCCCGTGGAACCCCGACACGTGACCCAGACATGCAATACCCGACCCAGACACGCAACCCCAACACGTGACCCCGACACACGACCCAGACACGCCAGACATGCAACACGCCCCGACACATGACACAGACGCGTGGCTGCGACACACCAGACACACAACACGTGACCCAGACACACGAGCCGTACACGAAACATGCGACCGTGACACGCAACCCTGACGTGCCGGACACGCAACCCACCCCGACACACAACCCCAACCGGAGGAACCCCGACACATGACCCAGACACGCCAGACATGCAACACTCCTCGACATGTGACACATACACGTGGCCCCGAAACACCAGACACGCAACACGTGACCCAGACATGAAACATGACCATGACACGCGACACGCGACCCAGACACACAACACGTGACCCAGACACACGACCCGTACACGAAACACGCAACCATGACATGCGACCCTGACACCCCAGACACGCAACACACCCTGACACACAACCCCAACCGGCGGAACCCCGACACGTGACCCAGACACGTCAGACATGCAACACTCCCCAACATGCGACACAGACACGTGGCCCCGAAACACCAGACACGCAACATGTGACCCAGACATGAAACATGCGACCATGACATGCGACCCAGACACACTAGACATGCAACATGCCCCGACACGCAACCCTAACCTGCGGAACCCCGACACGTGACCCAGACACACGACCCAGACACGCCAGACATGGAATATGCACCGACATGCTACACAGACACGTAGCCCTGACACGCCAGACACACAACACGTGGCCCAGACGCGCGACCCAGACACGAAACACGCGACCATGACATGCGACCCTGACGCGCCAGACACGCAACACACCCTGACACACAACCCCAACCGGCGGAACCCCGACACGTGACCCAGACACGTCAGATATGCAACACTCCCCAACATGCGACACAGACACGTGGCCCCGAAACACCAGACATGCAACATGTGACCCAGACATGAAACGCGACCCAGACACGCAACCCTGTAGGGCCAGACATGCAACACGCCCCGACATGCAACACATACACATGGCCCTGAAACACCAGACACGCAAGCAACATGTGACCCAGACATGAAACACATGACCATGACACGCGACCCAGACACGCTAGACATGCAACCCACCCCAACATACAACCCCAACCCGCGGAACCCTGACACGTGACCCAGGCACGCAATACCCGACCCAGACATGCGACCCCGACGTGCCGACACACAACACATGATGCCGACACACCAGACACGCAGCCCCCCCGATATGGGACCCCGATACGCAGCCTGCAACACGCGACCCCGGCACGCAGCACACCCAATCATGCAACTCTGACACGCAACTATAACACACAACCTGCAGCACACGACCCTGACACGCAACACACACACGCCCCAACACGCAAACCACAACACGCCCTGTGGGGGCCCGGGACCCAGCGGGAGGAGCCGTGTGTTTAGATTTGGGGAATTTAAAGGTTTTTTTTTTTCCTCCCATGTGTGGTCACGTGTTCTGAGTTTTTTGTTTATGTGTCTTCTGGTCGCGTGTTTCCCGGTCACGTGTTTGTTCTCCCGGCGTGTGTGTCCCGCCCCCAAATCACGGAAATTCCCATTTTCTTTTTTTTTTTACGTTTTATGGCATTTTATTTCCACGTGTGGTTGCGTGTGGCCGTGTTTTCTGGTCACGTATGCTGTGTTTTCTGGTCACGTGTCCCATGCTTTCCAGTTACGTGTGCTGTGTTTTCTGGTCGTGTGTTTTTTTTTCCGATCCCGTGTTTCCCGCCCCTTCCCCGAGTCACGTAAGTTCCCATGTTATTTTTTTTTTTAATTTTACGGAATTTTACATTCACGTGTGGTCGCGTGTGGCGTGTTTTCCCGGTACCGTGTGGCGTGTCTTCCCGGTCCCGTGTGCCGTGTTCCCCAGTCACGTGTTTGTTCTCCCGTCACGTCTTTCCCGCCCCCAAGTCACGGAAGTTCCCGTGGTTTTTTCTTTTTTACATATTATGGAATTTTATTTCCACGTGTGGCCGCGTGTGCCGTGTTTTCTGGTCACGTGTTCCATGTTTTCCAGTTACATGTGCTGTGTTTTCTGGTCACGTGTTTTTTTTTTTCCGATCCCATGTTTCCCGAGTCATGGAAGTTCCCATGTTATTTTTTTTTTCTTAATTTTACGGAGTTTTACTTTCACGTGGGGTCGCGTGTGGCGTGTTTTCCCGGTCCCGTGTGCCGTGTTCCCCAGTCGCATGTTTGTTCTCCCCGACACATGTGTCCCGCCCCCAAGTCACGGAAATTCCTGTGGTTTTTTTTTTTCCTTTTTTATATTTTATGGAATTTTATTTTCACGTGTGGTCGCGTGTGGCGTGTTTTCTGGTCACGTGTCCCATGTTTTCCAGTTACGTGTGCTGTGTTTTCTGGTCACGTGTTTTTTTTTCCCGATCCCGTGTTTCCCGCCCCTTCCCTGAGTCACGGAAATTCCCATGTTATTTTTTTTTTTTTAATTTCACGGCATTTTACTTTCACGTGTGGTCGCGTGTGGCGTGTTTTCCCAGTCCCGTGTGCCGTGTCCCCCGGTCGCGTGTTTGTTCTCCTGTCGCGTGTTTCCCGCCCCCAAATCGCGGAAGTTCCTGTGTTTTTTTTCCTTTTTTACATTTTACGGAATTTTATTTCCACGTGTGGTCGCGTGTGCCGTGTTTTCTGGTCATGTGTCCCATGTTTTCCAGTTACGTGTGCTGTGTTTTCTGGTCACGTGTTTTTTTTTTTTCCGATCCCGTGTTTCCCGAGTCACGGAAGTTCCCATGTTATTTCTTTTCTAATTTCGCGTCATTTTACTTTCACGTGTGGTCACGTGTGGCGTGTTTTCCCGGTCCCGTGTGCCGTGTCCCCCGGTCGTGTGTTTGTTCTCCCGTCGCGTGTTTCCCGCCCCCAGATCACGGAAGTTCCCGTGTTTTTTTTTTTGTTTTCTTTTTTACATTTCATGGAATTTTATTTCCACGTGTGACCGCGTGTGCCGTGTTTTCTGGTCACGCGTGCCGCGTTCCCTGGTCACGTGTTTTTTTTTTTTTCTCGATCCCGTGTTTCCCGCCCCCAGATCTCGGAAATTCCCTTTCTTTTTTTTTTTTTGTAACTTCTTTTTTTTTTACACGTTTCACGGAACCCCCTTCTCGCGTGCGGCCGCGTGTGCCGCGCGCCGACACGCGTGTCCTCCCCCGCCCCGCAGGCTTCCTGAGCACGGGCGACCAGGCCGCCAAGGGCAACTACGGGCTCCTGGACCAGATCCAGGCGCTGCGCTGGGTGGAGGAGAACGTCGGCGCCTTCGGCGGCGACCCCAAGCGTGTCACCATCTTCGGCTCCGGCGCCGGCGCCTCCTGCGTCAGCCTGCTCACGCTCTCCCACTACTCGGAAGGTGGGCGGGGGACCCCACCCGGGGGCGCGGGACACGCGTGTCGACACGCGTGTGCACACCCACAAACACGCACACGCAAACACGCTCACACACGCGAACACGCTCGCACACGCGAAGACGCTCCGACACGGGGTCGCGGGCGATGGGTGTCGGAGGCCGTGTTGGGGGTCACGGGGTCAGAGTCCGCCGCCCCCTGCCCCCCCTTCCCCTCCCCTGGGGCGCCCGACGGGCGGGTTGCGTGCGCGGTCACGCGTGTTCCCCGGGGTCGGGTGTCTCTCTCCCCGCCGGCCACGCCCACGCGTCTGTGGCCCCGCCCGCTCCCCGGTGTGATTGGCGGCCCCCCGGCCCCGCCCCCGGCTCTCCCTGCGGCCCGTGTGGGTCGGCGTGACCTCGCGCGCGCGTTCTCGTGTGACGTCGCGCCGACCCCCGCCGTGACCCTCCGCGGTGGCCCTCTCGGGCCCGGGGTGGGCTTCCCGTGACCCCACGGTGACCCCGTGACCCCTTCCTACCCCCCCCTCCGTTAGCCTGTCCCGCAGGGCCGTCCCGGAGCCACGTGTCCGTAGGACACGCGTGTGACGCGGGACCCCGTGTCAACCCCTCGTGGACCCTGTAGTGACCCCAGGTTGACCCCGTAGTGACCCCGCGTTGACCCCACAGCCCCCAAAACGCCACCCAACCCTCTTCCAAGTCACCCCTGGCCCACGTGTCCGTCAAACATGCGTGTGACATGTGACCTCACGTGACCCCGCGTGGACCAGGACCCCGCGTCGACCCCAGGTTGAGCCCGTAGTGACCCCGCATTGACCCCACAACCCCTGAAGCCCCACCTGAGCCTTTTCCAGTCACGTGTCGGGTCGAACACACGTGTGACTCATGACCTCCCGTGACCCACGTTGCCTCCGCGACCCCCCGTTGACCCTGTAATGACACCAGTCTGACCCCACGACCCCTGACGCCCCACCCAACCCTCTTCCACTCACCCCAAACCCACGTGTCTGTCGAACACGCACATCACATGTGACCTCACGTGACTCCGCGTCACCCCCGCGACCCCCCTGTTGACCCGTAGGGACCCCAGTCTGACCTCACGACCCACTGTTGACCCCGTAGTGACCCCACATTCACCCCACGACCCCTGACGCCCCACCCAACCCTCTTCCACCCACCCCACACCCATGTGTCCGTCGAACACGCGTGTGACCTGTGACCTCCCGTGACCTCACGCGGCCCCGCGTTGACCAGGACCCCGCGTCGACCCCAGATTGACCCCATAGTGACCCCGCATTGACCCCGCAACCCCTAAAGCCCTGCCTGAGCCTCTTTCAGTCCCATGTCTGGTCGAACACACGTGTGACACGTGACCTCCCGTGACCACGACCCCCCGTTGACCTTTCAGGGACCCCAGTCTGACCCCACGACCCCTGACGCCCCACCCAACCCTCTTCCAAGTCACCCCAGACTCACGTGTCCCTCGAACACGCCCACCACACGTGACCTCACGTGACCCCGCGTCGCACCCGCGACCCCCCCCGTTGACCCGTAGCGACCCCGATTTGACCCCACGACCCCTGAGGCCCCACCCCGCCCTCCACTCATCCCACGCCTGTGTCCCTCGAACACGCGTGTGACCCGTGACCTCCCGTGACCCCACGTTGACCAGGACCTGCTTTCGACCCCAGGTGGACCCCATAATGACCTCACGTGACCCCACGACCCCCTGGGTGACCCCATAGCGACCCCAATTTTACCCCACGACCCCCGAAGCCCCACCCGAGCCTCTTCCGGTCCCGTGTCCGGTCAAACACGTGCATGACACGTGACCTCCGTTTCGCCTCCGTGACCCCCGGTTGGCCCCGTAGTGACCCCAATTTGACCCCACGACCCTGACCCCGTGACCCCCAAGGCCCCACCCAACCCTCCTCCACCCACCCCACGCCCACATGTCCATTGAACATGCGTGTCACCCGTGACCTCCCGGGACCCTGTGTTGACCAGGACCCGGTTTCGACCCCAGGTGCACCCCGTCGTGACCTCACGTGACCCCACGACCCCCCCGGGTGACCCCAATTTGACCCTACGACCCCCGAAGCCCCACCCGAGCCTCTTCCGGTCCTGTGTCCGGTCGAACACGTGCGTGACGCGTGACCCCGTTTCGCCTCCGTGACCCCCGGTTGGCCCCGCAGCGACCCCAGTTTGACCCCGTGACCCCCAAGGCCCCACCTAACCCTCCACCCGCCCCACGCCCACGTGTCCCATTGAACACGCGTGTGGCCCGTGACGTCCCGTGACCCCGAATTGACCAGGACCCGGTTTCGACCCCAGGTGGACCCCGTAGTGACCTCACGTGACCCCACAACCCCCCGGTTGGCCCCGTAGCGACCCCAATTTGACCCCACGACCCCCAAGGCCCCTCCCAACCCTCCTCCGCCCGCCCCACGCCCACGCGTCCCTCAAGCCCGCGTGTTACCCGTGACCCCGTGACCCCGATCTGACCCCACGACCCCCGGGGACCCCACCAGAACCCCCCTCCACCCACCCGCCCGCCCCGCCCCACGCCCCGCGCCCGTCCCGTCGAACACACGTGCCTGACCCCGCGACGTGTCCCTCCCACACGCGTGTCTGACCCATGACCCCGCCCCCCGCCCCCCGCAGGCCTGTTCCAGAAGGCGATCATCCAGAGCGGCACGGCCCTGTCCAGCTGGGCCGTCAACTACCAGCCGGCCAAGTACGCGCGGGCGCTGGCGGAGCAGGTCGGCTGCGGCGGCGGCGGCGGCGGTGGCGTGTCGTCGTCCGTGTCCGTGTCCTCGGCGTCCTCGGGGTCCCCGGACCCGGCGGACACGGGCGAGCTGGTGTCCTGCCTGCGGCGGGCGGGCTGGCGGGAGCTGTCGCGGCCCCGGGTGGCGCCCGCCGCCTACCACGTGGCCTTCGGGCCCGTGATCGACGGCGACGTGATCCCCGACGACCCGCAGATCCTCATGGAGCAGGGCGAGTTCCTCAACTACGACATCATGCTGGGCGTCAACCAGGGCGAGGGGCTGCGCTTCGTGGACGGCGTGGTCGACGCCGGCGCGGACGCCGACGCCGACGACACGGATAACCCGGATAACACGGATAACCCGGACGATAACCCGGACGATCGCACGGATAACCGGGATAACCCGGATCGCCCGGATCGCAGCTTCTTCGGTCGCGAGGGTTCGCCCGGCGTTGCGGCGGCGGGTTCGGCGTCGGCTTCGGCGGGGGGCGGCGGCGGCGTCTCGCCGGGCGCCTTCGACGCGGCGGTGTCGGCCTTCGTGGACCGCCTCTACGGCTACCCCGAGGGCAAGGACGCGCTGCGGGAGACGATCAAGTTCATGTACACGGACTGGGCGGACCGGGAGAACGCGGAGGCGCGCCGCAAGACGCTGGTGGCGCTCTTCACCGACCACCAGTGGGTGGCGCCCGCCGTGGCCACCGCCGACCTCCACGCCCAGTACGGCTCGCCCACCTACTTCTACGCCTTCTACCACCACTGCCAGAGCGACGCCAAGCCCGCCTGGGCCGACGCCGCCCACGGCGACGAGCTGCCCTACGTCTTCGGCGTGCCGCTGCTCGGCCCCACCGACCTCTTCGCCTGCAACTTCTCCCGCAACGACGTCATGCTCAGCGCCGTCGTCATGACCTACTGGACCAACTTCGCCAAGACCGGGTGAGGCGGCGGCGGGGCGCGCGGCGGGGCGGGGTCACGGGGGTCATGGGGTCGGGGTTAGGAGTCAGGGTCAGGGGGTCCGTGTTGGGGGTCAGAATCTAGAGGGTCGGGGGTCGGGGGGGCTCGGGAGTGTCAGGGTCGGGTCAGGCAGGGGTCGGGGTCAGGTGGTTCGGGGGTCAGGGTCGCGGGGTCAGGGTCAGGGGGTCATGGTTGGGTCCAGGTCAGGGAGTCCGGGTCGAGGGTCAGGGTCAGGGTCAAGGGATGAGGGCTGGGGGTCGAGCATGCCTCTCTCCACAGCATCAAGACAGTTTGGACTCCATTCCTAAATACTTTTCTCTGCATCATCACTCTATGATGGACTCCATTTCCCAGCATGCTTTTCTCCACAGCACCATGATGTTTTGGACTCCATTCCTAGATACTTTTCTCTTCACCATTCTGTGATGGACTCCGTTTCCCAGCATGCCTCTCTTCATCACTCCATGATGGACTCCGTTTCCCAGCATGCCTCTCTCCACAGCACCATGTCGGTTTGGACTCCGTTTCCCAGCATGCCTCTCTTCATCACTCTGATGGACTCCGTTTCCCAGCATGCCTTTCCACAGCATCAGTACATGGTATTATAGAGAAAGGCATGCTGGGAAATGGAGTCCACACGTCCTCGGGGTGTAAAGATTGAGCAGGGAGCATCCTTCTGAGCCAGAGGCATGCTGGGAAATGGAGTCCAGACGTCCCCACCGTGTAAAGAGGGAGCAGGGAGGGTCCTTCTGACCCATGAGGCATGCTGGGAAATGGAGTCCAGATGTCCTCAGGGTGTACAGAGGGAGCAGCGGGGGGTCCTTCTGACCCACAGGCATGCTGGGAAATGGAGTCCATATGATGCTCTAGAGAAAGGCATGCTGGGAAATGGAGTCCAGACGTCCTCGCGGTGTAAAGAGGGAGCAGGGAGGGTCCTTCTGCCCCAGAGGCATGCTGGGAAATGGAGTCCAGACGTCGTCATGGTGTAAAGAGGGAGCAGGGAGGGTCCTTCTGCCCCAGAGGCATGCTGGGAAATGGAGTCCAATCGTCCTCAGGTTGTAAAGAGGGAGCAGGGAGGGTCCTTCTGAGCCAGGAGCATGCTGGGAAATGGAGTCCAAACCCTCATGGTGCTGTGGGGAAATGCATGCTGGGATATGGAGTCCATATGATGCTCTAGAGAACGGCATGCTGGGAAATGGAGTCCAGACGTCCGCAGGGTGTGAAGAGGGAGCAGGGAGGGTCCTTCTGAGCCAGGAGCATGCTGGGAAATGGAGTCCAAACCCTCATGGTGCTGTGGGGAAATGCATGCTGGGATATGGAGTCCATATGATGCTCTAGAGAACGGCATGCTGGGAAATGGAGTCCAGACGTCCGCAGGGTGTGAAGAGGGAGCAGGGAGGGTCCTTCTGACCCAGAGGCATGCTGGGAAATGGAGTCCAAACCCTCATGGTGCTGTGGGGAAATGCATGCTGGGATATGGAGTCCATATGATGCTCTAGAGAACGGCATGCTGGGAAATGGAGTCCAGACGTCCGCAGGGTGTGAAGAGGGAGCAGGGAGGGTCCTTCTGACCCAGAGGCATGCTGGGAAATGTAGTTTTAATGGACAACAGACAGAAAGGCATGCTGGGAAATGGAGTCCAGATGTCCTCAGGGTGTAGAGAGGGAGCAGGGAGGGTCCTTCTGACCCAGAGGCATGCTGGGAAATGGAGTTCAGCCCGCCGTGGGCTCCGCCGGCTGCGTGCTGACCATGTGCACATGCGTGGGGCCGGCGATCTGCACGGCCCCGCCCACCCCGTCATCTGCACGGCCCCGCCCACCCCGGTCATCTGCAGGGCCCCGCCCACCCCGGTCATCTGCAGGGCCCTGCCCACCCCGGTCACCTTCACGGCCCCGCACTCCCCGTCATCTGTGTAGCCCCGCCCTCCCCGGTCATCTGCACAGCCCCGCCCACCCCGGTCATCTGCATAACCCCACCCTCCCCGTCATCTGTGTAGCCCCGCCCACCCCAGTCATCTGCACAGCCCCGCCCACCCTGGTCCTGCGCGCATCCCAGGCCCAAACTTTCTGCATTTGCATATCCATGAGACCGCAACCCTCTCATTTGCATATCCCTGGGCCCGACTTTCCTGCATTTGCCCAACTTTCCACATTTGCATATTCATATATCACCCCATTTGCATATCCCGCCCAACTCGCTCATTTGCATATACCTGGGCTTAACATTTTGGTTTTTGCATAACCCCGCCCAAGCCGGTCATTTGCATAACCCTGGTCCAACCTCCCACATTTGCATATTCATAGCTCCCCATGTGCATGTCCCCCCCAATCTGGTCATTTGCATATCCCACCCACCCCGCTCATTTGCATACCCCCAGGCCTAACTTTTTCTGCATTTGCATATCCCCGCCCCAGCCGGCCGTTTGCATATAACCCTGGTCCAAGTTTCCACATTGGCGTGCTCGTATCTCACCCGATTTGCATGTCCCCGCCCACCCCACTCATTTGCATATCGGCAGACCTAGCTTTTCTGTATTTGCATAACCCCGCCCCAGCTGGTCATTTGTATAACCCTGGTCCAACCTCCCACATTTGCATATTCATGTCTCACCCCATGTGCATATCTCGCCCAACCTGGTCATTTGCGTATCCCGCCCACCAGGGCCATTTGCGTATCCCCGCCCACCCAACTCATTTGCATATCTCCAGGTCTAGCTTTTCTGTATCTGCATTGACCCCTCCCAAGGAGGTCATTTGCATATCACTGGCCCATTTTTTCGTAATTTGCGTATTTACGAGAACGAAGGCCTCCCATTTGCATATTCCCCGCCCCAGGCGCCAATGTGCATAGCCCAGCCCAACGTCCCTCATTTGCATACTCGCATCTCACCTCATTTGCATATCCCGCCCACCAGGGCCATTTCTTGCCCGCCAGGGCCATTTGCGTATACGACCCCGGTCATTTGCATATACCTGGACCTAAGTTTTCTGTATCTGCATAGCCCCGCCCACCCCGGTCATTTGCATATACCTGAACCTAAGTTTTCTGTATCTGCATAGCCCCGCCCACCCCGGTCATTTGCATCTCGCTGGCCCTTTTTTTTGCATATTCATGAGAACAAAGCCCTCATATTTGGATAACCCCGCCCAAGCCGGTCATTGGCACATCGCCGGCCCTGTTTTTGTCTTTTGCATATTCATGAGGAGGGAGCCCTCACATTTGCATACCCTGCCCCAGCCGACCATTTGCATATCCCGCCCCAGCCAGCCTTCAGCATGTCCCAGGCCTAACCTTTCTGCATTTGCATATTTATGAGTCCTGGCCATCTCATTTGCATATCATTGGGCCCAAGCTTTCCACATTTGCATATTCACATCTCTCCCCGTTTGAACGTCCCAAGTAACGTGGTCATTTGCATAACCCCGCCCTGGACCGGCCATTCGCTTGTCACTGGCCTGTTTTTATTTTTGCATATTCATGAGGTCGATGCCCAACCTTTCCACATTTGCATGTTCATATCTCTTGCAATGTGTGTGCCCCAACCAACGTGGTCATTTGCATATACCCACCCACCCTAGTCATTTGCATATGCCTAGGCCTAGCTTTTCTGTATTTGCATAACCCCGCTCACCCCGGTCATTTGCATATCTCTGGCCCGGGTTTTTAAATTGTCGCATGAGAACGAAGCCCTCACATTTGCATAACCCCGCCCACCGCAGTCATCGGCGTGCCCCAGGCCTAACCTTTCTGCATTTGCATATTCATGAGACCAGTTCCTCTCATTTGCACCCTGGGCCCAACCTTCCCACACTTGCATATTCATATCTCTCCCCGTTTGAATGTCCCAAGTAATGTGGTCATTTGCATAACACCGCCCACCCTAGTCATTTGCATATGCATGGGCCCACCATTTATATATTTGCATAACCCCGCCCACCCCCGGTCATTTGCATGTCAATGGCCTGTTTTTATTTTTATGTATCCATGAGAACGAAGCCCTCGCATTTGCATATCCCTGGGCCCATGCTTTCCACATTTGCATATTCATATCTCTCCCCATTTGAATGTCCCAAGTAACGTGGTCATTTGCATAACCCCGCCCACCCTAGTCATTTGCATGTGCCCAGGCCCATCATTTCTGTATTTGCATAACCCCGCCCACCCCGGCCATGTGCATATCAATGGCCCATTTTTATTTTTGCATATTCATGCGCCTGAAGCCCCGCCCCAGCCATCCATTTGCATATCCCCGCCCACCAGCGTCATTTTGCATATCCCCGCCCCGATGTCTTCATTTGCATATCCCTCCTCCCGCCCCTCCCCCCCCCTCACCGCAGGGACCCGAACCAGCCGGTGCCGCAGGACACCAAGTTCATCCACACGAAGCCGAACCGGTTCGAGGAGGTGGCGTGGACCAAGTACAACCCCAAGGACCAGCTCTACCTGCACATCGGGCTGAAGCCGCGCGTCCGCGACCACTACCGCGCCACCAAGGTGGCCTTCTGGCTCGAGCTGGTGCCGCACCTGCACAGCCTGCACGACATCTTCCAGTACGTCTCCACCACCACCCGGGCCCCGCCCCCGCCCGACGGGACCGCCTACCCCGGCACGCGCCGCGCCCCCCGCCAAGCTCTGGCCCGCCACCAAGCGCCCGTCCGTCACCGCGGCCAACGCCGGCAACGCCAACGCCGGAAACAGCGGCCGCGGCGGCGGCGGCGCCGGCAGCGGACTCCGCGGCCTCGGCGTCGGCGTCGTCGGAGGCGGCCACGCGCGGGACGGCGGCCGGGCCGAGGACGCCACGGTGCTGATCGAGACCAAGCGCGACTACTCGACGGAGCTGAGCGTGACCATCGCGGTGGGCGCCTCGCTGCTCTTCCTCAACATCCTGGCCTTCGCCGCGCTCTACTACAAGAAGGACAAGCGGCGCCACGAGACGCACCGGCGGCACCACCACCAGCACCACCACCAGCACCACCACGCCGCCGCCGCCGCCGGCACGCTCCCCCGGGGCCACGTGGGCGGCCACGTGGGCCACGGGACCGGAAGCGACGGCCTCGGGCTGGGCCACGGCGGCGACGACGACCTCCTCTCCTCGGCGAAGCCGCCGGCCGCTGCCGCCGCCGCCGCCATGGGGATGCCGGGGCGCCACGACGGCCTCGTCGAGGACATGGCGGCGGGCCTGCGCGTCACGTGCCCGCCCGACTACGCGCTGACGCTGCGGCGCTCGCCCGACGACCTCCCGCTGATGACGCCCAGCACCATCACCATGATCCCCAACAGTCTGGCGGGGCCGGGGGCGGGGCCTGGCGCCGGGGGCGTGGTCTCCGGGGGCTCCGGCGTGGGCGGAGGCATGGCGGGGGCGGGACTTCCGCCGCCGCCGCTGCACACGTTCAACACGTTCGCCGCCGCCGCGGGTGCCGTCGTCGCCGGGGTGGGCGGCGGGCAGAACGGATCGAACCTGCCCCACGGGCACTCCACCACCCGCGTATAGGATTGCCGGGGCGTGGGGGGCGCGGGGACGCGGGCGCTTCCGGTTTCCGCCGTTGCCCACACCGAGAACGGGCAAGATGGCCGCCGCGGGCGCTTCCGGTGCAAAATGGCCGCCGACAGCGCGGCCAGGAGACGATGCAAAATGGCCGCCGCGGCGAGCGGAACTTCCGGTTCCGCCAGCACCGTTGCCGGGAAAGAGTGCAACATGGCCGCCACGGCGGGCGCTTCCGGTTGCGCCAACGCCGAGGCCGCCAATCAATGCAAGATGGCCGCCGCCTCGGCCCCTTAGAACTGGAAACGGGCCGAGGAGGAGGACTCGGCGCCCAGCACCCCGGACCGCGGCTCTGGGGACCGAGGACAGCACTGCGCGAGGCGGAGGTTTTGGTATCGGCGGCGGGAAAAGGGTTGAAATTTTCATTTGGAAAATTTTATTTTTTTTTTAACGCGGTCGGTCGGTCGGTCGGTCGGTCGTGGCGCGGAGGGGAAACCGGGGACGTGCCCGGAATTTTGGCGGGAAAATTGTTTTTAATTTTTTGGAAAAAAAAAATTTAAATTTTGTTTTTCCCGGGCGACGGTTAAAAATTCGGGGATTTTCTGGGGTTTTAGGCGGAAAATGATTTAAATTTTTAATTTTAACTTTTATGTGGAGGCGAAAAACGTGAATTTTTTTATTAGAATTAAAATTGAAATTTGGCGAAAAGCGTCAATGGGGAACTGAACCCGGGGGGTTTCCGCCTGGAATTGGCGGTGAAATTGGAAAATTTCGTGTTTTTGCGGAATTTTGGTGGAAATTTGGAGCGTTTTCTAGAATTTCGGTTGGAGAAACGGCCGCGTTGGTTGTAGCCGGACCCTGGGTGTTTTATTTATTTTTATTTATTTTGTTTTATTTATTATTTTAAGTTTTATTTCGGGGACGCGCGTGAAAACGGCGGCGTCCTTTTGTTTAAAATTTGGTGGAAAATTTCCACCCTAAAAAACCAGAATTTAAGCGTTTGCTTCTGGAACGGAGGAGGGAGTTTTTTAAAAAAATTTTAATTTTAACGGCTACGGAAGTGACGGCGAGGGAGCGCGAACCCTCCGGGGTTGGCGGGGAGAAAAATCATTTTTATTTTCACGGCCACGAAACGGAATTTTCCGGGAAAACCAAACTCGGGCGTTTTCTGGAAGTGGAAAAAAAGAGTTTGAATTTTTGTTTTGATTTTGGTGCAAAAAACGGGAAACTGGGGGAGTTTTCAGGAAACGAGATGGAAAATTTTTCCGATTTTCATTTTCACGATGACGGAAAGGGCGAGAAAGGGAGGCGGACGGTGACCCCGCGTGCCGCAGCGGGGCGTGCGGAGGAGACGTTTTGGATTTTGAACTTCGTTCCGACGGGAAGAGAATCACGTGGGGCGGTTTCCACAGCACCGGGGGGTGGGCGGAGACGTGGGACCCGGAGCGGCGCCCCCACGCGGGGACTTTTTTTCACCCGAGACTTTTGACGCTGGAAAAAAAAATAAAAACTGAGAGAAAAACTGAAAAAAAAAAAAAAACTAAAAACCCAAAAATTCGAGAAAAAAAAAACAAACAAACTGGAAATCGCGGCCCACGCGTGTTTCCGGCCCGGACTCTATTTAAAGGAAACTTTGTACAAAAAGAAATGTAATAATTAAACGTGGATACACTGTATATCATCCCTGGGGGGCCGAGCGGCTGGGGGGGGAAAAAAAAATTTGCACAGCGGGGGGTGGGGTGGGGTTGGGGGAGGGGCGGGGACGGGAAGAAAAAAAAAACATGAAAAAAAATTTCAAAATCCGGTTTTCTCACTCTTTTCGGTGCGTACGCACACGCACACACACGCACACACGCCCGCCCGTCACCGCAGAACGCGGTGTCCGCGCCCCGTCCCGTCCAAGATTTTTGCAGTTTTAATTTTTAAATTTAAATTTTAATTTAAAATAATTTTTTTCGGTTTGTTTTGTGTTTGGTGACTCGGCAGGGTCCATCCCGGGGAGCCCAAACCGCGTGTCCCGTGAAATTCGGGGAGTTGTGGGCGTCTCCCCGGCCCCGTGTTGTCCGTACCAGGCCAGAACGTTTCGGAAAAAGGAGAGAAAAAAATTTAAAAATTCGGCCTGGCGTCGAGAACACAGGCGTGCGGCTGCGGCGGAGGCGTGGACACCGGGCCGAGGGCGGACGGTTCTTCCCCGCGAGGACGTCGGGCGTCGCGTGGAGTCGACCGGGGGGAAAAAAAACAAGTTGTAGCGAGAATTATCGAGGAAAATGTGAAAATAAACCTGAGATTTTTCAATAACGGGAGAATATTTAAAATTAAAAATTTAAATTTTGTTTCTCCAGGTGGGAGGGGGCAACATCGTGGGGTCCCGGGGTTCCGTTCTGATTTTTAATTTCTGCCTTAAAGCGCGGGTGGCAGCTGCGTGGGGCGGGAGACGTTGGGGGGCGGAGGAGAGAGTTTAAGGCGGCGTTTTTAACAATAAAATATGGCGGTATTTTCTACGGCCGCGTGTGTCGTCCTTCACGCGGTCCCGGTTTCGTGTCCGTGATGGGAATTTATTTTTTTCGGTCACCTCCGGGGCATCCGGGTTGGGTCATCTGTGGTCTTTTTATTTATTTATTTATTTATTATTTATTCATCCATTCATTAAAATTGGTCATTCATTCATTCATTTGTTCTTTTTTCTAATTTATTAAAATTATTCATTCATTCATTCAAGCTTAACTTCATTTCTCCATACGTGTTTCGAGCTCTCGTGTTTATTTGTTGGAAGGTTTGACTCTTGTCAGTCCCTGTCCAGGTGTCTGTCCGTCACATCTGTACACGGGAAGTCCCACCTCTTTCTGGAAGGTTCCCAATGGGGCACACGTGTCCATCATATGTATACACGGCAAGGGCCGACCCTTTCCGGAAGATTCAAGGGGGGCAGCTGTTTCAATCGTATGTATACACAGGAAGTCCCACCCCTCTGTGGAAGTCCCCACGGGACACGCAAGTCAGTCATATCAGTACACGCAACACAGCGGGGTGAAAGGTCATCATATATTGACATTATTATTATTATTTGTTGTGTACCTAAAGACAGTGAGGTTTTATTGAGAGGCAGAGTCACATGGCTCGGGACAGGCTCTCAGACCCGGTCCCGGTTCCCGGAGCCATGAAATCAGAGCTATGATAACCGGCCACAGACCTCATGCGAGATAAAATAAAGTTTGTTTTTTTTTTTATTTTTATTTATTTATTATGGACACAGGGTTCTGCCGGCATCCCAGCAGGCCAGAACAGGGCACCAGATTTTTATTAAAGATGTTTTTTTTAAGCCATCATGGGGGTGCTGAGACTTGAACTCAGGACCTCGGGAAGAACAGCCAGTGCTCTTAAACTTGGAGATATCACTCCAGCCCAAAATCAGGTTATAAAGATTGAATGTGGTGGAGGCTAAAGAAAAACCAAAAACAACTCCCCATCTGATAATATCCACCTCCATCCCATAATATCCACCTCCATCCCATAATATCCACCTCCATCCCATAATATCCACCTCCATCCATCATATCCACCTTCATCCCATAATATCCACCTCCATCCCATAATATCCACCTCCATCCCATAATATCCACCTCCATCCATAATATCCACCTCCATCCATAATATCCACCTCCATCCATAACATCCACCTCCATCCATAATATCCTCCTCCATCCCATAATATCCACGTCCATCCCATAATATCCACCTCCATCCATAATATCCACCTCCATCCCATAATATCCCACCTCCATCCCCATAATATCCACCTCCATCCATAATATCCACCTCCATCCCATAATATCCACCTTCATCCATCCCCATAATATCCACCTCCATCCCATAATATCCACCTCCATCCATAATATCCACCTCCATCCCATAATATCCACCTCCATCCATAATATCCACCTCCATCCATAATATCCACCTCCATCCCATAATATCCACCTCCCATCCCATAATATCCACTTCCATCCATAATATCCACCTTCATCCATCCCATAATATCCACCTCCATCCATAATATCCACCTCCGCCCATAACATCCACCTCTATCCCATAATATCCACCTCCATCCATCCCATAATATCCACCTCCATCCCATAATATCCACCTCCATCCCATAATAACCACCTCCATCCCATACTATCCACCTCCATCCATAATATCCACCTCCATACCCATAATATCCACCTCCATCCATAATATCCACCTCCATCCCATAATATCCACCTCCATCCCATAATATCCACCTCCATCCATAATATCCACCTCCATCCCATAATATCCACCTCCATCCATAATATCCACCTCCATCCATAATATCCACCTCCATCCATAATATCCACCTCCATCCCATAATATCCACCTCCATCCCATAATATCCACCTCCATCCCATAATATCCACCTCCATCCATAATATCCACCTCCATCCCATAATATCCACCTCCATCCATAATATCCACCTCCATCCCATAATATCCACCTCCATCCATAATATCCACCTCTATCCCATAATATCCACCTCCATCCCATAATATCCACCTCCATCCCATAATATCACCCATCCATAATATCCACCTCCATCCCATAATATCCACCTCCATCCCATAATATCCACCTCCATCCCATAATATCCACCTCCATCCCATAATATCCACCTCCATCCATAATATCCACCTCCATCCATAATATCCACCTCCATCCCATAATATCCACCTCCATCCCATAATATCCACCTCCATCCATAATATCCACCTCCATCCCATAATATCCTCCTCCATCCCATAATATCCACCTCCATCCCATAATATCCACCTCCATCCCATAATATCCACCTCCATCCATAATATCCACCTCCATCCATAATATCCACCTCCATCCCATAATATCCACCTCAATCCATAATATCCTCCTCCATCCCATAACATCCACCTCCATCCATAATATCCTCCTCCATCCCATAATATCCACCTCCATCCATAATATCCACCTCCATCCCATAATATCCACCTCCATCCATAATATCCACCTCCATCCATAATATCCACCTCCATCCATAATATCCACCTCCATCCCATAATATCCACCT